TCCCCTCCCCCTATTTTAATCATGTGCCGTCTGAGATATTTATTTCAGGTTTTGTTCCTTTTTCCTTCTATTTATATCTTTTTTCAAGCCACTCATAAAATCGCTCCCATGTCCTGTAGTACATTGATTCCTCTTTGTCCTTTATTCTCAATGTCAACCTGTTAGTTTCTGCACAGTCTAATATTTTCTTTATTACCTCCCCTTCCGATGGGATTTTCTCTGCTTTCCAGTTTTGTGCAAATACAATTCTAGCTGCTGTTATTATTTGTACAATCAAATACGAATCTGCTTTACTGTATTTCTCTGGCAGAATACCCAATAAAAATATCTCTGGCTTAAACTCCAGGGGTTTGATGTATCATTTTCTCTAACCACGTTTAACCCATGTATTTTAACCCAATAGCTTTTTGCATCCCAACGGGGTGACTGATTGAATGCCCGCAGGGATTCGCTTAACGACAGGGACAGGAAAGCTCGTAAGATGGAGCAAAGCTCCTTGAACCACTGTCTCGCTTTTGAAACAGGAAAATTTGGGCTCGATTGTGGTCGTAAGTCGAGGACTACCTGTTTAGGATTTACGGGGGTGGGTTTTCTCTTACCTACACACGAGCGGTTGTTACTTGAGAGCTGGAATCCAGATTCACACTGACAGGTGAAAGATCCTGGGGAATTGACGCAACGGTGTTGACAGTAACGGTAATGGCATTCGTCAATGTCTGTAGCAGAAAAGAGGGGGGGAAACGAGAAGGAATTTCTGAATTATAAAAGTATATCCACCTTGCTCTGCCTCTGGGCATGCACAGAAGGCTTTGTCACCTTCTCTGAGAAACTGACCTGATTCTTTTCAGATTTGGGTTTGTTTTTTTAAACTGGTGGATATACACGCAGGTTTATGCTGAAAACAAGCAAGGTTTAGGCCTGCACAACATACGAAGGAATCAGGAATGAAGCTAGTTTAAAATCTAACTACGTTTCCTAGTTTTTTGTACATGCGGTAAAATGGGTGGTAAAATGTGATGGTACCCTAAACAACGTTACAGTAGCATAATGACAGAGTTGGAAGGGACCTTGGAGGTCTTCTAGTCCAACCCCATCAGAATACAGAATAACAGAGCTGCAAGGGACCTTGGAGGTCTTCTAGTCCAACCCTATGTATGAATACAGAATGACATATTGGAAGGGATCTTGGAGGTCTTCTAGTCCAACCCCCCGTCAGAATCCAGAATGACATATTGGAAGGGATCTTGGAGGTCTTCTAGTCCAACCCCTCTGCTCAAGCAGGAGACCCTATACCATTCCAGACATTCCGGTAGTGGGCCGCAGCGAAGGTTGGAGACCCCAGCTGTAGTTTACATAGGTGACACCTGAACTCCAACAACGCACTAAGCACTGAACAACACAACCCTATTTCAGGCAGGGACAGTATGTTTGTGCGACTCCCTTACCTACACACTCCGTCCCGATCTTCCGGTAGCCCTCCGGGCACTGACAGTGAAAACTCCCGATGGTGTTGATACACTGCTGGCTTGGCTGGCAGTCATGCAAATCGTATTCACACTCATCCATGTCTACACGGGACACAAAAGGCGGGTGGGGTGGGGTGTATTTGTATTAGAATATTACTTATTTGTATTAAAATATTACTTTTATTTGTATTGGATTAATTTTATTTTTATTAGAATTAGTTTTNTAGATAGATAGATAGATAGATAGATAGATAGATAGATAGATAGATATAGATAAATAGATGATAGATAGATATACTGTAGAAAGATAGATGATAGATATACTGTAGATAGATAGATAGATAGATAGATAGATAGATAGATAGATAGATATACTGTAGATAGATAGATATAGATATATAGATATAAGAATATGGATATCTAAAAGATATTCATATGCAAGATGATATAAATGTATTGTATGTATGTATGTTTGTGTGTGTGAGCATACTACTATATATATAAAAAAACTGGAAATATTCCTGCTATGCTACCAGAAACTTATTGTAAAGAAAATGTACATTTGATTATTGAAGTATTTTATTCCATCTCCAAACTCCATATTTAGAGACCCCCTGACCTGAAAGCATCAGTGTTAGGAAGCCCGGTGCCAGAGTAAACTTTATAGAAAAATGGCTGCGATTGGCTGTTGCTAGGATACGGACTTACCCGGATGTAAAATTCTCCATCCTCGTTGCCTGAACGGATCTGGAAGGTGTTAAAGGATCCTGGGTAGAAGGTGGTGGCTTGAATTTGGAAAATGTCCGAGGGCACCGTCCGATCGGCCAAGATGCTCATATACCGGTAGATGACAGAGGAAGGCTTCTCATGACAAAGGGGGTTTGAGGTCGGGCACAGACAGCGGCTGCAACAGGAATAAACTGGTTGAAGGAGGTTGGTTGTGGTCCAGCTGCGCTGTGAGCACCATTTCGTCACAGCTGGTTGTTAAACCAGGGTTTATCTACCATGGCTGTCTTAAGATGAATGAACTTCAACTCCCAGAACTCCCCAGCCAGCAGGCTTTAAGATGGGTGGACTTCAACTCCCAGAATTCCCCAGCTCACTTGCTTTAAGATGGGTGGACTTCAACTCCCAGAATTCCCCAGCTCGCTTGCTTTAATATGGGTGGATTTCAACTCCCAGAATCCCTGAGCCAGCTTAAGATGGGTGGACTTCAACTCCCAGAATCCCTGAGCCAGCTTAAGATGGGTGGACTTCAACTCCTAGAATCCCCCAGCCAGCTTAAATTTAAGATGAGTGGGCCTCAATTCCCAGAATCCCCCAGCCATCTAGCCTGCTGCCTCTGGTATTCTGGGAGTGGAAGTCTCGTTATCTTAAAAGTTTGCTGGTGGGGGAATTCTGGGGCAATTGAAGTCCGTCCATCTTACGATTGCGGAGGATGAGAAAGAGTGGCTTAAAGCAGCCCACGTGATTTCATTCTAACTGTGGTCCTTCATATGAACATGGCAGATTATTACGCAAGTGCCCGGTTTTCTGAACCTGGGTTTAGAACGCTGTGTGAACCCGTTTTATGGGATGTAGGAGTTATTTCTTGTGGTCTGCCAGACTCGGATAATGAGGAGGTTGGGGAGGGATTTGGGTCAGTCCTGGAGTCTGGGGAAGGCACTGATGGATGCTCTGCGTCGGACGCAGAGATAGACCCCAGGCCATCTGACATTTCCCAGCCACCGGAGAGGCCTTTGGAGGCTGAGATAAGTGGGGGGGAAGAACAACTGGGGCCTGTGCCAGATGCACATATGTGCAGAGCTGTTAGGAGAGGCGAACAACGGAGGACAAGGAGTTGACTCAGGGAAGCAAGGCACACGTGGACGCTGAATGGCCCTTCCCTGGCTGAGGAATAAATAGAAGGAAAAGGGGAGTGGTGGTCGTAGGAGACAACAGTTCGTATTTCTGAAGATTTTGCTCATTGTGTTTTGTGCCACAGAGACTGCTTGCCAGAACTTAATTTACACCCGGCCTTGCAATTATCACAAGGAACATCATAAAGTCTGCTAGTGCGGTTATTTGAAGGACTCTTGCCTGGACTTTTTGGTTTGTGAATGCCTTTAATTCATGGGAGAGAGAGAAATAAAGGGTTTTTTTCGGGACAAGGAGTCTGTTTCTTGTTTCTGCTAAGGCTGGGTCAGAAGATTCTTCTTCCTCATTCTGCAGGTTAGTTAAGGACTGAACGGCGTTTACAAATTGCTGCATCAGATCGACTCCGGGTGGCATAAAGGAGCCTTTGTGCCTCAATCCAAGCCCAACGTGGTCTGTTTACAATGCCCTTCCTCCTTTCCTCTCAACCCTCCGGACCTGTCCCCACTCACTTTTCAGAGACGTGGACGTAAGGTTCTTGGCACAGCTTCTTCTCCACACACCGATACCCTCCGTGAAAGTTCACGCAGTTCTGGGCTTCAGTGCACTGATTGCTGTCTAATTCGCATTCGTTAATATCTGTGGGTACCAGAGATAGAAGGAAGGAAAGAAGGAGAAAAAGGGAGAGAGGATGAAGGAAGGCAAGGGAAGGAAGGAAGGAAGAAAGAAAAGAAGTGAGGAAAAGAGAAGAAAAAGGGAGGGTGGGAAGGAGGAGGGAAGGGAAGGAAGAAAGGAAGAAGTTAGGAAAAGAGAAGAAAAGGTTAGGAAAAGAGAAGAAAAAGGGAGGAAGGAAGAAAAGTTAGGAAAAGAGAAGAAAAGGAAGGAAGGAAGAAACGTTAGGAAAAGAGAAGAAAAAGGGAGGAAGGAAGGAAGGAAGAAAAGGGAGGAAGGAAGAAAAGTTAGGAAAAGAGAAGAAAAAGGAAGGAAGGAAGAAAGGAGGAAAAGAGAAGAAAAAGGGAGGGAGGAAGGAAGAAAAGTTAGAAAAAGAGAAGAAAAAGGGAGGAAGGAAGGAAGGAAGGAAGGAAGAAAAGAAGTTAGGAAAAGAGAAGAAAAAGGGTGGGAGGGAGGAGGAGGGAAGGGAAGGAAGAAAGGAAGGAAGAAAAGAAATTAGGAAAAGAGAATAAAGGCAGGGAGAGAGGATGAAGGAAGGGAAGGAAGAAAGAAAGAAGAAACAGGGAGGAAAGAAGGAAGAGAAGAAATTAGAAAAAGAGAAGAAAAAGGGAGGGTGGGAGGACGAAGGAAGGGAAGGGAAGGAAGGAAGGAGGGAAGGAAGGAAAAGAAGAAACAAGGAGGGATGAGGGAGAAAGGAAGGAAGGGAAAGAAATGGAGGGAGGGATGAAGGGTGAAGAAATAGAGGGAAGGGAGGATGAAGAAATAGAGGAAAGGAAGGAAAGGAATTGAAGAGAGGGAGGGAAGAAAGACAAAGCAAGAATTGGGAAGGAAGGAAATTGAAAGAGAGGGAGAGGGGAGGAAGGAAGGAAGAAAGGAGAAGGAAGGAAGGAAAGGGAACAAGAAAAGAGGCCAAGCGAAGAAGAGGAGTAGAGAAAAGAAGGAAGGAATGTTAAAAACCCAGCCTCAGAACGATGCCAAAATTATTCTGGCCCTGCCTTTGCTTGGCCTTTGCTCAACAAATATTCCCCATTCTGGGATTTTTCTCTTGAGCTTCCCTAAGTGGTTCCGATCCAGCTGAGCGCTGAGGCAGAACGGATCACAAAGGTCTCGATACGCAAAAACCAAGAGGCGCCATTCACATCTCAGACCCCAGCCAGGCTGGGCAACATCCCCAAATCAAAACGAGGGTGGATTTGGCTCAAAGGGGGCATTCTCTGCCCCGCCCCAAATTCCCTTTTCTTGCTTTGGCACCCCAAACTGCCAGCAACCCCCGCCAGCCAGAATCCTTCCCTCCTCCCCGACCCACACAAGAATCCCCTTCGAATGGGCTTTTGCCAACTTCAGGCACTGCTTCCCAAAAATGTAATGGTATATATAGGTTCTCTTGCTTGAGCAGGGGATGGACTAGAGGACCTCCAAGGTCCTACCCTGTCCTGTCCTATTCCATTCCATTCTATAGTCTATATTATCTTCTATTCAATTCTATTTTCTATTCTATTTTATTCTATTCTGTTCTGTTATCTATTCTCTATTTTCTATTATTTTCTATATTCTGTTCTGCTCTGTTCTATTCTTATTCCATTCCATTCCATTCTACATTCTACATTCTACATTCTATATTCTATTCTATTCTATTCTATTCTATTCTATTCTTCTATTCTTCTATTCTTCTATTCTATATTCTATTCTATTCTCTATTTTCTATTATTTTCTATATTCTGTTCTGCTCTGTTCTATTCTTATTCCATTCCATTCCATTCTACATTCTACATTCTACATTCTATATTCTATTCTATTCTATTCTATTCTATTCTATTCTTCTATTCTTCTATTCTTCTATTCTATATTCTATTCTATTCTCTATTTTCTATTATTTTCTATATTCTGTTCTGCTCTGTTCTATTCTTATTCCATTCCATTTCATTCTATATCTATATTCTATTCTATTCTATTCTTCTATTCTATTCTCTATTTTCTATTATTTTCTATATTCTGTTCTGCTCTGTTCTATTCTTATTCCATTCCATTTCATTCTATATCTATATTCTATTCTATTCTATTCTTCTATTCTATTCTATTCTATTCTCTATTTTCTATTATTTTCTATATTCTGTTCTGCTCTGTTCTATTCTTATTCCATTCCATTTCATTCTATATCTATATTCTATTCTAT